CGGGCCACGTCACAGCCTGCTCACCTCGCTATTTCTTCCAGCCGATGTCTGCGAATAGTGTATGATGTGGCAGACGTTGCTCAGGCATTTGTAGGACGTGCCCTAGCCACCTAATACGGTGCAGTGAAATGGTTTTGCTCCACGGAAGACCTTGATCCTAACACACGTTGTCCGACCTCAGCGTTATTCATGCGATGCTCCTACGACGAAAGGATAGGCTCGTCTGACTAAATGCTGCGAAGTAAGCCAGTAATCCAGTCGACAAGAAAATCACCACCTAGCTTGAAAAGAATAGGGAGGAGCCCATCAGGTCCCGCAGCCTTCCCTTTAACGATTGAATGGATCTTCGTACTTCCAATTTTGATGGGGGTGACATGTTATTCCACTGTTGGTCTACTCCGGAGGTGTTTTATATATATCACACTTCTGAATCAAAACAAATAATGGTACAACAACCTTTATAAAAAAGGAAAACGCTCCACGATTTGCATGTGGGCCGAATACTGCCAGGTTGCCCAAACCAAGGCAAGTCAATTTTCTTGAGGAATCCACAACAGCCTTCGGTTAACCAAAGCTAATCCGCAAGGCAGCGGGTGGGCGGTGTGTGAAAACCGCAATCTTTTGGGGGCCGGTGTCCAGTTCGTCGGATCATACGTCTTTTGGACGGAGTCAAACGTCCAAGGTGTTCAATACACCTCGATACCCAATTGAGGCGATGACCACTGCCACAACCGGGAAGGTGTGGGTGTGATTCGTACACCTCCCCTCCGTATGTTTGGAATCAGGGTTTTGGCCAACTCATTAGCTGAACTACCAGTGGTCCACCAACCCGATTATAGCCCCGGATGTCAGCTTTTCGTCCTATAACTTTGATGAGAAAACAGCTAAATCACGAGAAGGCAGCGGGTAGGGCTTCCTCAGCAGAGGCTATTTTAGACGCTTGGTCGTATGAAAGCATGAACTCAGAGAAATCATATAATGCTCTCAATGCCCTCATTAGCCTCCGAAGGCCTCAGTTTGGTCGAGGCCGGGTATCTCAGGTCTCGAATGTTCAGTCCTATTTTGCACCTCGAAAAAAGCTCCCATAAGATCAAATGTCTCAAATAGCTTCTTCTGTGGAAGCCTTACTCACTGTCTTCTAGTGGCGGTGTTCTTTTTCAACAAAAGAAGAGGAAAAAAAGCTAACATCAGGGGCTATAACGGCGTCGGTGAACCACTGGCAGTTTACCTAGGGGAGTTGGCTAAGAACCCTGATTTCAAATCACCCGAGTAGAGATCGTTCAGTTCACTTTCTACAACCATTAACCATGCACTATCGTGCGCCGGTAGTGGTTGCTGTATTTTGGCTGCCCATTTGGATGAACATGAGAAAGATAGGAAAGGTTGAAAGAAGGATCGAAGAGAAAAATTAGGATTTCATTGCACTAGTTTTGCAGAGAAATCGACAAGATGCACGAACGCCACTGTTTACGACACCCAGCCATATTACTCAGTGTAGTTAACCATCGGGTATGAACGTCCGGAGGTTCCCATCCACGGAGCCTAACGGGACCTACGTAACCCAGACTCCTATTTAGGGTTTTCATACCCTCATGCCAGGTCTTAGCTTGACCACCCTTGATTTTCTTCTACCCACTACCTGCCTCGGCGAACATCGCTCACCGTGGCAACCTACCTGATGACATGCGTAAAACATGCTTCAACCAACGTAATCTACCGAGGTCGACCACTTGCTCCAGTGGGCGATCGCGATTGACTAAAACTATGCGCCTAACCTCAGCATTGTTCATCTGGCTGTCCCACCAGATTCGTGCAATGCTGCGTAAACAGCGGTGTTCAAACACCGACAGTCTATCTTTATTTTGTTTCCTTAATGACATACGAATCACATTCCCACTCCTGGTCACGGTAGTGGTCACAGGCTCTGTTGGGTATCGAGGTGTATTGGACACCTTGGATGTTTGATCCCGTCTAAAAGACATATGATCCGACGAACTGGACACCGGCCCCCAATGGGTTCTGGTTTTCACACTGTCCGGCTGCCTGGCGGGTCAGCCTTCGGTTAATCGAAGGCTGCGGTTGTGAATTCCCTTAGAAAATTCACTCGCTTTGGCCTGAGCAACCTGGCAGTATCGCACGGTCGAGCAAATCATAAACTTTCTTTTTATGAAGATTTTTGTGCCATGATCTATTTAGCACACAGTCTGAACTCAGATGTGTGTAAAAATATATAAATACAGATGCGGGTGTAGATTCCACCTTCCCCGCAGCAAAACTTAGATCAGTGTTCTCTACATCGCCGGTGATGCGAATGCAAGTGAAAGACAAACTGCCGAAACTGACCTCATCCATGATAATCTACATGTAAGTGCGTTTGTGGCGCATGTTACATAGGTCGTACGGTAAGGCGCTTCTCTTAACGTGTTAAGGAGCACCACCCGCGATAGTTGAGTCAGGGAAAAACCGGCTGTATCTCAAGCGCCATTGTGGGGCATCTCGTCGACACCAGGCACAAGATCGATACGGAGAAACCTTTTGATGTGTTTTATCGCATCACAATCAATCGCTCGAGGTCGGCCCGAGTTCGGACACTAGCTA